GCAGAATGTGATCCGGTCAGCTATGAAGAAGCTGCTCAAGAAGATAAGTGGAGAAAAGCCATGGATGACGAGATCGAGGCAATCAAGAGAAATGACACATGGGAGCTCACTACCTTACCTGAAGGCCATAAACCAATCGGAGTAAAGTGGGTGTACAAGACAAAGACAAATCAAGATGGCGGAATCGAGAAGTACAAGGCCAGGCTTGTTGCAAAAGGCTATAGTCAGCGAGAAGGAGTTGACTATGAAGAAGTGTTCGCACCAGTCGCGAGGATCGACACCATCCGACTCATTATCGCATTGGCAGCACAGAACCGGTGGAAGATCTACCAGATGGACGTGAAGTCTGCATTCCTGAACGGCTACTTAGAAGAAGAAGTCTACATCAAGCAACCACCAGGGTACGAGGTGAAGAATCAAGAAGACAAAGTCTACAAGCTGAAGAAGGCATTGTATGGACTGAAGCAAGCGCCCAGAGCATGGAATGCCAGAATCGATGCATACTTCCAGAAGAACGGATTCCATCGGAGCCCGTATGAGCACTCTCTCTATACCAAGAAGAAGGATGAAGACATCATGATCGTATGTCTCTACGTGGACGACATGATCTTCACCGGCAACAATCCGAAAATGTTCGAGGAGTTCAAAAAGAATATGATCAAGGAGTTCGAGATGACTGACATTGGAGAAATGTCATACTTTCTTGGAGTAGAAGTGTCGCAATCAGAGAAAGGAATCTTCATCTCTCAGAAGAAGTATGCAAAGGATATCCTTCAGAAGTTCAACATGAGCAACTGCAATCCAGTCGCAACTCCTGCAGAAGTCGGAGTGAAGCTGAGGCGAGACACACCAGGAAGCTATATTGATCCAACTCTATACAAGAGTTTAGTCGGGAGCTTGCGCTACCTAACCATCACCAGGCCCGACATAGTGTTCGCGGTAGGACTGGTGAGCAGATATATGGAGGAGCCAAGACAGGAGCATTTCAAAGCAGCCAAGAGAATTCTTAGGTATGTCCGAGGAAGTATTGATCAAGGATTATTTTATACACAGTGTGCAGATTCAAGATTAGTCGGCTACACCGACAGCGATTATGGTGGAGATTTAGATGAAAGAAAGAGCACATCTGGCTACATGTTCAATATCGGATCAGCAACATTCTCATGGTCATCAAAGAAGCAGTCTGTCGTCGCTCTATCAAGTTGCGAAGCAGAATACATAGCAGCATCGACATGTGCGTGTCAAGCAATATGGCTCAGGAGTCTGATGAAGGAATTGCAACACCAACAAGAAGCACCGACAGAGATTCTCATCGACAACAAGTCAGCTATTGCACTTGCCAAAAATCCGGTAGCACATGGACGAAGCAAACACATAGAGACAAGGTATCATTTCATCCGACATCAAGTTAAAAAGAAGACTGTGATGCTGTCATATTGCAAGTCTGAAGACCAAATCGCTGACATCTTCACCAAGCCACTAAAGACAGAGACATTTTTGAAGCTTAAGAAGAAGCTTGGACTTGAGAGAAATGAAAGTTGGTGATGAGGGGGAGTATTAGAATTCCTCACCAACTTAGATTATTCTAGAACAACTTTCTAGAACTTCTTTCTAGTAACATCCTACAAAATATCTACCATGAAGTTTCTAGGAAGATACAAGTGTATGGCTAGTATTTATTCTTCTAGAAACTTCTTAGTAATGTATGGCTAGGATTAACTCTTCTACACACTTCCTAGCCCTCTTAAACAACTATAAATAGGGGTCTTGTGCTCTCATTTGGGCAAGCAAGCAAGCAAGCAAGAAGTGAGCTTGAGAGCTTGAGTGTGTAGTGTAGCCTTGTGTGAGTGTCCACCAAAATAAAGGAATTGTGTGAAAGTGAGGTGTTCTTGTAAGAACAAGTGTTGTATTCTCAAGTGTTCTATCAATAAAAGTTTCCTTTGTGTAGAGTGTTGTGTTCTTCAAATTCCATCAAAGTGGTATCAGAGCAAAGTTCGATCTAGCCGGGCCAATCGAAGGTGCTCGTGTACGAGATGGCGAACATGATCCAGCCACAGATTCCGAAGCTGATGAAGACCAATTACGACAACTGGAGTATCCAGATGAAAGTCTTGCTCGGCTCGCAAGACTTGTGGGATCTCGTAGAGAATGGCTACACTGAACCGGAGTCACCTGCAGCAGAAGCAACTCTCACCGCCACTCAGAAGAGTGAGTTGAAGGAGGTCAGAAAAAGAGACAAAAAAGCTTTGTTCCTAATATTCCAAGGCGTAGATGAATCTGCGTTTGAGAAGATTTCCAATGCCCTGTCCTCTAAAGAAGCATGGGAGATTTTACAAAAATCCTATCAAGGTGCGGAAAGAGCCAAAAAGGTACGCCTCCAAGCATTAAGAGTTGAATTTGAAAATTTGAAGATGAAAGCTACAGAATCAATATCGGATTATTTTAGTAGAGTTCAGACAATAACAAATCAAATGAAGAGAAATGGAGAAGCAATTAATGATGTAAGAATTATGGAGAAGATACTTAGGACTTTAGACTCTAAATTCAAATATATTATTCCGGCAATACAAGAGTCTAAAGATCTTTCCGAAGTATCTATTGATGAGCTGCAAGGTTCTCTGCAAGCTTATGAACAAGATATAAACATTAGTTCAAATCAAGCGGAGAATCTAGAACAAGCCTTGCAGAGTAAGATGACTATCAAAGAAGATAGTCGAAGAGGACGTGGAGGCTACAGAGGCAGAGGCTCATTTCGAGGTGGCTCAAACTTCCAGCAAGGTCGTAGGAGACAGTACCAAGGAGGCCATGAAAATCAAGATCGAAATAGAGATCGTGAACGATCATTCGATCGAGGACGAGGTCGTGGCACACGAGGACGAGGACAAGGAAGAAGTTACCATGAGGACAGATCTCAGCCACAGTGTTACAAATGTAAGAGATACGGTCATCTCAGCTACGAATGTTGGGAGAAATCAAATCAAGTGGCAGAAAGAAGCAACTTTGTAGAAAGGGAGCAGGCAGACACTTCAACAGTCCTGTTGACGTACCAGGAGAGCGAAAGCAAGAATAAAGATATCTGGTATCTAGATTCAGGTGCCAGTAACCACATGTGCGGCATCAAGGAGTTTTTTACCGAGCTGAACGAGACGGTACAAGGAGATGTCACCTTTGGAGATCAGTCAAAGATTCCAGTGAAAGGCAAGGGCAATATAATGATCCAGACAAAGACGGGCGAGAACAGGTACATCTCTGATGTCTACTATGTTCCAGCATTACGAAATAATATTTTGAGCCTAGGCCAGCTCCTTGAAAGAGGCTATGATATACATCTAAAAGACCTTGCCCTCACTATTAAAAATAAAAATGAAGTTATTGCAAAGGTGAACATGTCTAGAAATAGACTGTTTACCTTAAATATTCATGCTGACCCTGTCAAGTGCTTGAAGTCAATCATAAAAGACGAGACTTGGCTCTGGCATCTACGATTCGGGCATCTCGCTTTCAGTGGCCTGAATCTTCTATGGAAGGAGAAAATGGTAAAAGGATTGCCGCAAATCAACCATCCGAACCAGCTATGTGAAGGCTGTATGAAGGGCAAACAACATAGAAGAAGTTTCGAAGTTGGAAAGTCAAGAAGAGCAACAGAGTTGCTACAATTGGTCCACACAGATATTGCAGGACCATTTGAAGTCATCTCTCTTGGAGGAAACAGGTATTTTCTCACATTTATTGATGATTATAGCAGAAAAACTTGGGTTTATTTCCTGAAGGAGAAATCCGAAGCTCTGGAGAAATTCAAAGAATTCAAGGAGATGGTAGAAAAGCAAAGTGGGTACCACATCAAAGTGCTCCGATCAGATCGAGGTGGAGAATACACTTCGAAGGCATTCAACAATTTCAACAAGCAGTACGGGATAATTCATCAACTCACTGCCGCCTACACACCACAGCAGAATGGCATAGCAGAGCGGAAGAATCGTACCATTCTTGATATGGTCAGAAGCATGTTGAAGAGCAAGTACCTGCCAAAGACTTACTGGGCTGAAGCCGTGGACTGTGCAGTTTACCTCCTCAACAGATGTCCGACAAAGAGCGTCAAGTTCAAGACACCATTGGAGATGTGGAGCAACATCAAGCCAAGTGTCAACCACCTGAAGGTGTTTGGGTGTATTGCATATGCACACATCCCGGAGCAGAAAAGAAAGAAGTTGGACGATCGAGGAGAAAAGTGCATATTCGTTGGGTACGAGAGGAGGACAAAAGCATACAAGCTCTACAATCCAGTTACAAAGAAGATGATCATTTCAAGAGACGTGGAGTTCGATGAAGAAGATTATTGGAAATGGACCGATGAAGATAAAAATATTAAAGGTATGTTCTTTGAAGATAATGATGATGACTTGCAGGAGGTTGGAAGACCAGAACAAAGTCCACCTAATAGTCCAGCTCCATCAACCCCAACATCAACGCCGACATCATCCAGCTCAAGTGAAGGAAGCTCTTCAGGGGGAGCAACAAGGAGGATGAGAAGCCTAAGAGATCTGTACGACGATACAGAGCCTGTCGAGATGATGGATGACTACACACTATTCTGCTTGTTTGCAGAATGTGATCCGGTCAGCTATGAAGAAGCTGCTCAAGAAGATAAGTGGAGAAAAGCCATGGATGACGAGATCGAGGCAATCAAGAGAAATGACACATGGGAGCTCACTACCTTACCTGAAGGCCATAAACCAATCGGAGTAAAGTGGGTGTGCAAGACAAAGACAAATCAAGATGGCGGAATCGAGAAGTACAAGGCCAGGCTTGTTGCAAAATGCTATAGTCAGCGAGAAGGAGTTGACTATGAAGAAGTGTTCGCACCAGTCGCGAGGATCGACACCATCCGACTCATTATCGCATTGGCAGCACAGAAAGTGAGAGACATGTGCAGCCTACAAAAGAAAAGTAATGTCATTTATTTCAAAGACCTAATGATTATGAATACAACCCCATGGATGATGATGAAGACGATAGTACTGGAACAACTTCAGAAACTTACATTGGATTGGGAGGTATTGGAAAAGCATCAGGTGAGAGGGTTGAAATCAAGTAGATGACAGAAATTGCATGCTAGTTTCCCTTCTTATCCTTTATGCTTTTGCTGCTTAATTGCATTAAAGGCTCCAAGAAAACCCTGGTTGTTTATCGGTTTGGGGAAATTGTAATTTTTTGGGGAAATTACGGAATCTGTCTTTGTTTTTACTACTCTCGGTTCACGATAGTTATTTGATCACTATTTTTTGACCTTCCCTTTCATTCAGAGAGTCCACAACTGCAAGGTCACTAAACAGAGTAAGCATTTAAACGATTCTAGTTAATTTGGAGATATATATATTATTGGAAAAAGAATCTATTTTTTTCCTTTTATCTTTTCGTATCTTATATATCTTTAATTTTGAATTTTCCATTTAATTATTGAGAGATATAAGCTTTATAATATTGTTTCTTTCTTAGGTTTTTTTGTTATATAACTTTCTGATTGTAGATATTTTTAATTAATTTCACTCTTCATATAGTAATAATAGCTAATTTATATCCTCTATGTCGTAATCTTTCTACAATTTTTCCGGCCATCATAATTGTAGAGAATACTAAAGGAATAGATATAGTGTTTATAATCTGTCTAGACAATATTCGAAAATCCTATAGTAACTTATTATTCGAGAGGAAAATTGCATATATTCGTCCTAAACATAAACTTATGCCCTATACTTGTTTGTTTTTCTAAATATTGTGGCATTCGTAAGCATTTAATAGTTAATTATTGGTAGTTGCATTCCTCTGTGTGTATAGATAAACATTAACAATCCAGTGAGCATGAGAAAGTGATGCAAAGAATCACTCAACAAAGTAGTTAGATATTATAGTATGCTAAGGTAAACATTGAGTGTCTAATTTACTCAGTATAATTCTTTTAGGTAAATGAATAGTATGCTAAGGTAAACATTGAGTGTCTAATTTACTCAGTATAATTCTTTTAGGTAAATGAAAATTTCATTTCCATGAGATAAAAACATTGAGTGTCTAATTTACTCAGTATAATTCTTTTAGGTAAATGAAAATTTCATTTCCATGAGATAAAAGCGAGTGCAAGATAGTCCAGTCATATCTGAGTATACATGAATACTTAATATATTAGTTTATCTCTATTTTCAATCACCTAACGAATAATTCATTTTCTCATATCATATATGCACAACGCCAATGGAAAATAAATAGTAACAAGTATACCTCTTATTTTTTGTAGTTTATTTCACTCGACATACAATATGAGAGGATGTATCATGTGATTCGTCTGTATCCTAAGAAAGTTCGTTTTACGATAAGTGTTACATTTTGTACATATAGCCCTTCTGATAGTACTTAGCACAAAATACAAGCTACTGCCTTTGATAGCTGTTCCTTGTTTCTAAAAAACAACATGACTTGTCATTATCTTCCAGTATTTGTTATTTACTAGTCCCCTTTTTTCTCTGTGAAACTTTTTTTTTGGTTTTTCATCCAAATCATAGGCTCCCCTTTCCTATTTTGTCTTCTTTCAGCACTTATTCCATCTAGTTGATTGAATTAATAACGTTTAACACTTATTCTAGATTGCTGTTGGTGCATCACCACATGCACGTGTGTTGAAGCTATGTATAAGATTGCTCATATGGATCAAGAGTTTCCCTTGCTTTTGCCACAAGATATAGTCAATTGTTACCTTATACATTTTGATATCACTCCTAAGTTCGACAAAGTTCGGTGTTACTTATGGTCCATTGTCAAGGCTTTTAAATATATCATAACAAGGGGTGTGCTATATGAAAAGGACTGTCCCTTTGTTAAGAAAAGAGGAGAATGCATCGACCGCAATGAGGTAATAGTATTGGGTTATTTAGTTAACTCAAATATCGCATTTAACTTTTCTTCCAAATTGGAAAAGAATATTATAACTTGGATTTTCTATTTCAGAACACAAAAACTTTCAAGATAAAATGTTTTCAGAAAATTAAGGATGGAGATGAAGCAACGCTCCTCTCCTGTGTGAGCAAGCACCCGGTTGGTGCTGCAATCGTGATTACAAAAGACTTCTTAAATTTAAAGAAGGTAATTGCTAAACTTGGTAAAAATTACATTTACTATTTAGTGGAGGTTGATTAACATTTTCATTCTACAAGCATTATGCGTGTTGTCTCCTTATATGACAAAATTAGCTCATTTTAAGCTACTTTCTAACTGACAAATGACATCATTAGTTTTTTGATTCCATGATAACAAACATTCAATTCTCAAAGTTCATCAGATATAAAATACAAACTACCTTTGATGAGAGTGATATAAAGATAATTTTATTGACGAAAACAAACAATGAATAAAGATAATAAATGAAGCCTTATCAACTTCCTTTGATTAATGAGGCTTTTCCATTGTTATCAAAGTTTTGAGGACTATCGGAAGAAATTATCCTTGTATTTGTTGCCATTGTATATCTTAGACAAATTGATTTCTCTTGTTACCTTATATTAACAAATTATAGAGTCTACTTTCCACTATACTAATATTTCCCTGTCTGAACTATAACAATGGAAGAGAGGACACCTTCAAGGTATTAGCCGATTTAGTCTAACTCCACTCAGCGCGCACTTATAATTTAAGATATTCCAATTTGAAAACAATTTAAAAACTTGCGAACACACCCTCTTTTTAATTTCCAGATTTCAGCACACAACCAAATGCCTATGTCATTCACATAACTACCTAAATCTTAGATTAACATCAGTATGTAAGATCACCAACACATATACCATTAAGCAGCATTCAACACTCAAAACTGTTAGTGTCAAGTGCGTATGTACTAACCACAAGAAATCACTTGCTAGTATATATCATATTTACAAGGCACAGATCTTCTCTGAATAACGTAACATGATAGATGGACAACATAAGTAGGAATCTATGAGAAGAAAACCTGTGGCCAACTAGTATGATTGCAAGTGGAGAATCGCCATACGTTGTCTTCAGAACAGCCGAAACATTATTGCACAGAGTCTTCAAATTACCAGAATTGGTCATACTTCATTTTTAATTAAAAAATATATTGGTCTTGACAATAAGCGAATACACGAAACAACTTAAATAAAATTGAAAAATTAAAGAAATATTAGAAAATGGGAAGCTTATACATCAATAGAGAAGTTAAAATAGTTATCCCTGAGTGACTTTCCATGACCTCTCAGATCGATAGCTACAACAGGAGATCTGTGATTTTTCTTGCTAAAAATGCAAATGAAAGCCTAGCAAGACAATGAGTATGTTTAGAGTTGGCAGACAGTGTATTGGAAGCATTTACTAATTTGATTTGTTTCATTAATTATCTCTGTTATTTTTATTGCTGATAATGCAAATAAAAGTCAAGAAAGACAATGAGTATCTTTAGAGTTAGCAGACAATGTAATGCAAATATTTATTAATTTAATTTTTTTCATTAATTCTTTTTTCTTTTAAGGGTACAATTTACATGGGTTCGAATTGCTGGTTATAGTTCGCATGCAATGGTTATTGTTGGCTATGGTAAAAACGTTGGCATTAGCTTTTGGATTGTAATAAATAGCTGGGGGAAGAAATGTGGTGACGAAGGTTATTGTCGAATCTGTAGAGACTCAAGTTTACCTTCAGGCAAAACATCAATTTTAACTAGAGCTTCCTACCCTGTGCTTGGTAAGTTTTTAGCTATATTGGTCATTTTACTTCAACAATTTTATTGGAAACTATATATTTATCCACATTTTTGCAATATGAGGCTTCATTCATTCACCTTTACACGCACACTGAACAAGCTCGTATTATGTGCTGGGAAAAATTGATATCCTATTGCCTTAGCTAACTTTAGTATATTTTTCATGAATGTAGATGACTGAGGACATGGAAAGGAGCAAAGATACAATAGCAGAGATGGTTCAAGAACGTTAAATAATGTTTATATAAATGAATTAAAGATCTCTCCCCTGTATGATATAGTCCATTATCTACATGCTACTTGCTATATTTCTTGGACTTGCGAAATGCTTAACTGTTTTTTCGCTATATCTTTGAGGATGAATCCCTTGATAACTTGGATCTTGTATAATATAGTTTATTAGCTGACATGTTAAGCTTTGATGTGGAATGTAGGTTGTGTTAGATCAATGCATTCATATAGCTTTTAATGATAAATAACTTCTAACTGGGGACTTTTTTAATGATGTTTGGAAGTTATTATTCTAGTCCTTATGTTGTTTTTTGTTTCCTTAGATGATATTAATCATACAATTTTAGAAGATTGAATCGTGCGTTTCTTTCATCCCTGAAAATGAAGGTGGCGATTTATCACTGATAGTGTAGCCTTCTTAAGATTTATATGTTATGAGAAAATTAAATATCATAAATGACTTCATATAGTTTTCTATTCTCTCCCATATTGAACTCGTGTAAGCTGTATCATCGTGCCGCTAGTTTTCTAATTTTCAATTTGAGTTTAGTGGTGGTTGCTTGTATAGTTGTATGACGTTTTGACTCAGATTTGCAGAAAACCATGCATTATGAACTAGTGAAAGAAGTGTTTTCTCTATAATATTCCTCAAGAAAATCTCTTGTTTTTGGTTAATAATAATATTTTCGGTACATTGTGAAAGAAGCAGTTTCTCTGTAATATTCCTCAGGGAAGTCTCTCTTGAATTTTCCAAAAACTTGACATAAACATCACTGCAAATACAATGTGGATATTTTTTTTCTGCGGTGGGCAATACATTATGGTGGCTAATCTAGAATTACTTTAGCAATTTAAAAAGGAGTTTGCTACATCTTTGAAGATGAATTCCCTTGATATTTTGGATATTATATGTATACTTTACCGTCTGACATGTTACACTTCAACGTGGGATGCGTTTAAGAGGTGTTTGGTTCAATTTCTATAAATTATACGAAAAGGAAAACATCCAAAATATAAATTTCCTTGTATTTCTTAAAAGAATTATAGGAAAAGTTTTGAGAAGTCAAAAAGTACCAAATTTTTTTATTTTTTTGTACTTTGCTTGTTTGGTTCAAAACAAGAAAATGTGCTTATTACTTTATAGAAATAGCAAGTTTTTCTTTTCTTTTGTTTGGTTACATGTCCCAAATTTTTGAAAAAGTGTCAATTGCCATATTTATTTTTTTATAACGGCTAGTTTAACGACTAGTTTTTACATTCTCAAATATTATAAAATCATTCTATCCTTAACTATCCATGAACACAAAATTTCCACAATTGAAAACCATGAGTAAGAGTGTTAGAAACCGTGTTGATCGTCAAGTGCATCAAATCCAAAGATATGTATTTTGGTTAGAAAAAACTACAAATTTTATTAATAATTTTCCAATGACCAGAGTCTACTTTTTTTATAATCAGCGTGCTCGGAAAATACCACTGTTTGATCGGAAAATTGATTTCTTTGATGAGTCTATTACAACTTTGAATGCTTACAATAAACTCAAAAAAAAATGATAGACTTTTTATAAGACTTTAAATCGAAAATTATAATTTTCTCTCAAACTACACGCAATAGATGTTTATCGCCTATTGCTTGTGCGGGATCGTTGCCGGTACCGGGGTTTATCCGTGGACCGCTTACGGATCAGATCCGGTTAGCAGAAGTTGGATAATCAATGCTTTCACTTCACGAAGGAAGTAATTGCAGTAGCGGTGATTTTGACTAAGCAAAATCACGGCTCTTCTCTAGATTTAAGACTAAGCTTAAATCCGGAGGAATAGGGAATGAGTCTCAGATCTCTCGAACTCTCACTTTGTTGAAGAACTCCGCCAAGATCTGTTAACTCTCTGAAATTCGTGCTCCAATCTCCAATTTGACAGCACTTCGTTCTCTTGATTTCCAGATCAATAAAATAGAGGCATTTGGCTCATATTTATAGGCCTCGGATGTAGTTATTTGGATGAGAATGATGGATTTTTCTTTATCTTTAGTTAACAACTGTATAACCATAATATCAGATCAGTTGGAACGTCCAGGAACACTCAAATCCCGAAAGAATCCATAAAAAGAACCGAAAAAACTGATTTTGGCCGAACTGCCATTTGGTGGCTCGACCATGGTCGAGCCACCAAATGGTGGCTCGGCCACCGAACCACCAAA